TGATCTCAGCACACGCTCTCAAGTCACCCCGTAGATCTGAAATATGAGAAGAAGCATTCAATTATAGTTTTATTTATCAAAAACTAAATTTATAAGATTACTTACATTGGTGATTAAACAATATGCTAAGGCAGTTAGCACAAGCATCGCGTTGATCTTTTTGCAAAAAAGCTTCAATAAGCCGATGAACGGCATCTATATTATTCGCTCGTATAAATGATGAGGAAAGGGAACTTGATCTTAGAAATAAGGAAATGTTAAAGTAAATCGCATAAATCTCATACATAAATATGCCTACCTCTTTGCCACAAGCTGTTGCAACTCTGTGTAATGTTCATAGAGGTCGGTAGCCGATTTTTGATCACAAAACCATTCACTTGCAAAGCATTGCTTCCACACGCAGGCTATAACGAAAATATCCTTCTGCTCAATGTAAATTGAGCGTGCCACTTGCATTAGCGAAACCAAAACAGCCTCGCTTTTCTGTGCCAAAGTTTCCTCGACGATGGTTCGAAACACATTCCGCGCCATTCTTCGGCCCTCATCCGTTTCAATACAATCACTATAGCCACGGTGCAAAGTCATCAAAGCTACATCCGCACTGCCACTGCGCCAGAGCGCCATGGCTTTGAAAGGCGCAAAATTGGCATATACTTTTATAAGTGGATGAGCACGTAATTTACACAGATCTGCCAATGACTCTATCTGTTGCAAGCGACATAATTGCATGAGGTATTTAAGGCAAGACACCAGCACTTCATTGGATGGCAACTGCTGATGACGAACGCACTGCCTGATTAGGTACAGAAAATCGGGTTTATTTTTTATTTCTACAGTAGATAGCAACAAATTGTCTAATTGTGCTTGAGACAACGATCGTATATCTAGTCCCAATTGTGGCGAACGAATAGCCTGCAAATCAGTTACAACACCTTTGGACAAAATATTCACATTCTGACCGAAACTGATTGACTCTAATTCATTATTTTCGCTATAACTGCTTGCATTAAGATCCGGTGTATTACTCTTCATAGTAAACGAATCTCTCAGCTCATCCCATTTTTTTGAGTTGCGGCTTACCAATTCGTTTGTTAAGCAATCGATTGCATCCATTTGTGTCGATTTACGCTGCACTGNAATTAAACTTGTAAGAAATAAGTAGTTATTTGTTTAATCAATAAACTGTGTCAGTATAACACTTTGCGATGACTTTTCGTACGTTTTAAATTTTACACTTTTGTATGTAAACAAAAATTATATCAGCTGTTCGTCTAACTTGCAAGTTTCTGCAAATTTTCTGTTCGCGTACTATTTTGGATATTTCTCTCTTGTGAGCGAACAGATGACATTTCGCCGGAATTTGGCAGTTGGTTGGTTTCTGCTGGAGATTTTAAACGAACGCACCTAGAGTAGAAATTGGTTGAAAGTTCACCGCTTTTAGTTTTTAATAGAAATTGTTCCAGAAGTCCACCACTATTTAGGATCGTGAGCGCAGAGCGGAGCAAAATTAACAGAAATATTGGCTTTGTTTCTTTTCTTTTCTAGCAAATAATTATCAGGAAGAATTTAATTCGCCATCAACACCACCTTGTATAAATTCGCCTTGAGGTGGTGTTATCGGGTCCGCTGATTTCACGGAGAATTTGTACCTTTTGTCAAAATTATGTGTTTGTTGTAATTTGGCTTTGTACTGATTGTCAAGGAACGTATAATTTGTTGTTGTAATTTTTGTTTTTGTTCTGTTATCACCACCTTGTATAAATTCGCCTTGAGAAAGGCCTTGCGCAAANCTGCAAATTTGCGTTCGTGCAGAAATTTGCAAGTTTCTCAACATGACAGAGAATTTGAGAGAATTTTTTCTTACTCTCTGATATTTTGAGTGTTGGATAATTCTTGCTGGATTTTCGACGAACAAACCTAATAGCAAGTAATCAGCTGATCGGTGTATTTGACTATTGAAAATATTTGGCGGGAATTTTTGTTTTCCAGTGCTGGTAATAAACCAGCATTCAGCCGCAGGGTACTCCATTATTATCGCATCTCTTCAACAAAGGTAATGGTGGCGTACTATCCTGTGGCATTGAAAAGACACAGGGGCTCAGATGCTGGTTGCCTTTAAGGCTTCGCCACGTATGTAGACACAATTGCAGTAGTGCGTCAAGAGAAGCGCTAGGTGTTTGTAGAGAAAGCTGCCGTACAGCACACGGCAATCGTTCTTTGAAGTTTAGCAACAAGATTTGCCACGCTATAGATTGAGAGTCTGTTCTACCATACCACTGACTCATAGCTGATTATGGGTCTGATCAAAGAGGTATAAATACAGAGGATTCTCTTTGGTGACAGAACCCACATTTTCCAAAGACATATCTTTCCGCACACGTCGAAAACGTGAAAATCGCTGAACACCTGAAAAACCGGGCGGGGCGTTATATTCTTATACCGTTACTCCTGCTATTATATGTGTTACTAACTTACACTTAATTAACTAAATATGAAGGCCAGTTCGCATTTAGGTCTTAAATTTATTCACAGATGCATGTATGTAGGGTAAATGTTTATACATATTTAAGTATATATGTATGTGC